GATATTTGAACAGGCACTCCATCAAAGAAGATATGTGGATGGTAAATAAACAAATTAAAAGATGCTCAACATCGTTAATCACCGGGGAAATGCAAATTGGAAGCAGAGTGTGATACTACTACTCTCCAGTGAAACTGGCCAGCATTTTAAATACTGACCCCACCAAATCATAGCAAGGATCTTGAGCTCTTTGAACTCTCATACACTGCTGCTTGAAACGTAAAATGATTCAACCACTTTTGAAAACAGTTTGGCAGTTTCTTATAACGTTGGACATACACGTAACCTATGATCCAGCTGTTTCACTCCAAGGCATTACCCGAGAGAAATGAAAATATCTCTCCAAATAAAGACTTGTGTATGAAAATTAGCAGCAGCTTTATTTATGATAGATAAAAAGTGGGGAGACATTTCTCAATAAAAGACATACAAATGGCCAACAGATATATGAAAAAATGCTCAACATCACTAATCGTTAGTGAAATGCAAATTAAAACCACAATGAGATATCACCGCACACTTGTCAGAATGGCTATTATCACAAAGACAAAAGATAAGTGTTGGCAAGGGAATGGAGAGAAGAGGACCCTGTATAATGGGGGGAATGTAAATTAGTACAGCCATTATGGGAAACTGTATGGAGGTTCCTCAAAAAAACTAAAAATACAATTACCATATGATCCTGCATTCACACTTCTGTGTATTTACCAGAAACATTTAAAATCAGTATGTCAAAGAGATATCTGCAGTACATATTTATTGCAGCATTATTTACAATAACCAAATTATTGATCAATCTAAGTATTTATCAACAGATGAAAGGATAAAGAAAATGTGGAATAGATACAAAATAGAATACTGTTCAGCCTTTAAGAAAAAAAGAAATTTTGTCATTTTCAACAACACAGATAGAATTGAAAAACATCATGCTAAGTGAAATAAACCAGGCATAGAAAGACAAAACCATATGTTCTCACTTACATGTGGAATCTAAAACAATCGAACTCAAAGAAGCAGAGAGTAGAGTGGTGCTTACCAGAGGCTGGGGGTTGGGAGGGATGAGATGAAGGTCAGAGTGTACAAAGCCTCAATTAGATAGGGGTAAGGTTTTTTTTTTTATTGTTCTTGCCACAAAAAATAAGTATTTGAGGTAATGAATATGTTAATTAGTTTAATTATTCCACATTGTATTCATACATCATAACATTGCTTTGTGCCCCATAAATATATACAACTATAACTTGTCAACTTACAATTAAAAAATAAAAATTAACAAAAAATAGTAATGAGTGACACAATGTTACCCACAAAAGAATAAATGGGGCAGGAGGGAGAACAGGACTATTTATTTGTCATGGACGTTTTCTTTTTATATCTGAACTTTGAACTCTGGAGCCTAAAACCTAGAAATGTTCAACAGTCAGTTGGTGATACGAATGGTAAAAGGATTGTACTATTATCTACAAGTATAATCAGTAATCGTAAAGTTCCAAGTGAACTGCAAAATGGGAGGGAGATCGTCTCCCACTGACAGCACATGGTCCAGTATCTAATTCCTGGTTGTACTAGAGCTAGTCTTTAAGTTTTCTCTTTGGTCAAACAAAACAACCCCCACCAAGGATAAACCAACTATAATCCAGATTATAATCCAAGATAATGAGATTTGGATTGCAATATTTTTTCAACCCTAATTCTCCTGGTCACAGAAAGCCACGGTAAATTATAAAGAAAGAATTTAGTACTTAACTCTTGATAAGTGAAAAATTCCACCTAGTTCAACATATAATCAACAAATTCACCCAGAGTCAAATCCTATTTGGTAAAAATATCATTATCTGAAAAAAATTACCATCACAAATTAAAATGTCTTTGCATCTTTAGCCAAGTAATTATTAAACGGCTCTATGTCCATTAAAAATTGTCAACAGAAATAAAACATCTACACAGATCAGAATATTTTAAAATACCATACACGAAGTAACAATTTATAAAAAGCTATAGTAATCCTTATCATTACCTTCAGTGTATTAATATACAAAATAAATCATTACTGGATTCTCTAAGTTATATAAAGCAATATATAATATGTTTTGCTTTTTTGTTATTTCTAAATTTGGGGAGAAAAAAATTTTTAGAAGAGCACATGCCTATGTTTTATTGTTGGCATAATTTCAAATACTAAATACATGCACACATTAAGCAGATTGGCTACATGACAAAATTCTGTATTCAAATCAGCTGTTCAGAATACAGACAGCATTGAACTCTGTAACACTGCTACAAATGCAGTGTTGGTTGTTTAATCAACCCCTCAAAATCCTATTTAACCTATAGCATCACACTGTCCTAAGCATTATTTCAGAGTCCTGGAAATAAGAGGTGAGGCATTTCCTCCCATTTCGCGATCATTGGAGAAGCCTTGGACCAGTTTTGACATATGCCAAGGTTCTGAGGAAACAGAACCCACAGAACTCAAGGCCCTTCTCAAAGTCCCTCTTTCTTGAAACCTTCCCTGTCCGTCCTGAATTGACCACTTCTGCTCTGAATCCCAGAGCTTTGCTAGTGCTGCTGTTAAGGTGCTTTTACTTTCTTCCTTTTGTGAGCATCGTTTGTGAAGTTACCTCGTGTTCCCCTTCCTTCCCCCAGATCCCGCTACCAACACACACACACACACACACACACACTGCAAAACTCCTAGAGGCAATGGCAAGGTCTTTCACTCATTTTTCCCACAATAGTCCCAGTAAGACGGACAACAGGTGAAATATAGCAAGTGTAATTCGCTTGTATATATTGTCTGTTTAAAAATTGACTACACTGTGTCCATTTTTCATAAAGCAAATATCATTTAAATTAATATTGCCTACTTCACATTTTATAACTTCTCCCGCTAAACCGGCCCCAATTATTAATTCAGAATCCCTCATACAGCAGATGCTCAGTAAAATGATATTAAACAGATACCAGGATCCGGTGCCAAAAATATAAAATTATGATTGGCTGAAAGATCAGTACCTGTTGCCCAAAAGCAATGCCTGAGGAGTCTTTCTAAAGCTCAGGCTAATCCTATCACTTTGTTTTCCAGGGATGGTGGGTTTACCGAGGGCATACACTCCATAGTTTGTGGGACAAATTAACCAAAGCTGACCATGGTCGGCTTGAGGAGGGAGAAAGGGAGAAGGAAAAAGCTAAGTGGCGCTTGGGGAGGCTGATCGGATGTAATATTCGTATTCGGCCACAAGGGGGAGCTAGACACTTGGGTAAGCTGCCACAGCCCACAGGAGAGGCCACACTGCACCCGCCCTACCTGCCTCAAGTCTCTGAAAGAAGCATCTCGATGGAGATACTGATGTCCCTTCAGGAAAGAAACTTCTCCAAAAACAAATCAAGGAAAACCAGAGTTCCTAGGCAGATCTAGGTTTTCTAAGCTTTTCATCTAAAATATTGCTTGTTTTTTGGTTGTAACTATCGTTACGTGTTCTCTAGCTATTTGAGCCATCAAAACCAAATAAATGACAAAAACAGACGTGGATTTGGGAGTTCCAGGTGTCCAGGTACACTGTATCATATCAGGCAAGGATTTTTTTGGTAGTGCCTCATCATCATTAACAAACTTTATCCAGAATAGTATTAAATTAAACCGGATAGCTAATGCAATGGATAACAGCACTTAAACAGAGAAACCAAGGAATCAAGCAAAGAGCTAGCAAAAAATAAACAGAAGGTACTTTTTAAAAAGATTCCCATTTAAACAAACAAACAAACAAAAAAGTCTGCAGAGGGTCCCTGTCTTCCTGATACTGACGTGGGAAAGACACTTTTGTCCCTTTGGATGACTCCACTCTAGCGTATAGTGACTGCCATAGGTCCCACTACTTCCCCAAAATCAAGTCCTTCACTGGATTATTCTCCTCTTCAATTCTTGTAGTGGAGAAAAAAAAAAATCCCTCTTACTGTGAATGATAATAACATAAGCAGCTGGTAGTAAGTTAAATGTAAAATTATATAGTAATTCAGCTGAAATTTAATAGACTATTTATAACTATTTGCTGTTTTAATAAGACAACCTTATAGGAGAGAATCAAGCAAGTGGATCGTCCCATCACTTCAGGAAAAGAAACTGGCCCAGAGCACTTACCCTGTGAACTCCCTACAAAGAGGAACCAGTTTGCAATTTTTATCATTGTTCTTATTTTGATGGAATATGCGAGTTTATGAAAAACCAGGCAACCCAAGTCCCAAACAAGGACATAACTTAAACACAAACGAACCAAGGAAAAAGAGAAGGTAAATTTGTTCAAATGTTTTACCTAACTGACTAACTTATACTCATAAAATGCCTCTGCACTATGGGCTGGAATTTGGGTTATGAGCACTTTAGTGGACCACAGGAAAAAACGTCCTAACTGAGAAAATGAAAACTCACCTCCAAGTGCCCAGCGTTTAAGTCTCAATGACCACAATACCCTAGGGTAGGAAGCTCCTCTCCATCTGGCGTCCCAAGGACTGCAATAAAGATCACTACCTGCCTCTACACCATCTGCAAGACGCAACTGCAGGAGGCTGGAGAACACATTCTTGGAGCCCAAACAAAGTCACAGAAAAGATTTAACACTCCACACAGAAGCAATTCAACTACCATTGCACAGAGCCTGGCCTTTGTTTTTTTTTTGGGGGGGGGTTGTTGTTTTGTTCTGTTTTGTTTTTCTGTACAGGTATCTTATTACTGTGGCTGTTTTTGTGGAAATGTGGTTACTTTTACCTTCTTATTAATTCCTCCTTGCTTACGGTGACAATGACCATACTGAGCCATCAAATAATTTAGGTACCAAAGAAGAAATGCCCCCCTTTTTTTAAGTTTTGACCATGACTATGCTGTAAAAAGAGTACAAACTATAAAAAATTAGATAAACAGATAAGGAAAAGGCAATATAAAAGCTCTCATTTTTATGGGACAGGAAGGAAGGAAGGAACGAAGGAAACAAACCTTGAGTAGCACTTGGCACAACGTTGGTGCTCAGGAAATACTTGTTAAATGAATGAATGAATTACTTGGGAATCATAAAACAAGGGAATGATAAAGAAATCATTTAAGAGAATGTCTTGTTATTTTAGCTCTCTTCATGTTGTATGTGCTATTCTTTAAAAAATAATGGATAGTGGTACCATGAGCCATGCATGGTTCTTTGATGCTATTTCCCTGGTGGTGACTTCTCCATTTGGACCACAAGCCAACAATGACAAAGCCCTTTTTACTCACTCATTGGTGCGGAGGCAGCTTCCTGCTACGTGCTGTTTTCTGGATAGGTTTCTAGGATCAAACTCACTGTGTTTGCTGTGCATACTTACACAGCGGCTCAGCTTCTGCCTAAGGCTATGAAAATCTTCCACAAAGTGTATTTCCTTGTAAACTTGTAATTGGAGTTGACCAAAAACATCTTCCATGAAGAAGGACAGAAGCTGTTCTTGGAATCTGCAGTTTTTCTACAAATAAGATATTAAAAATTGCATAAGGTAAACTATGAATAGTTTGTGGGGTTTTTTTTTTTTTTTTTAAATGTCACTGAAACATCCCCCTGATTATTTCTTAATGACCATCTGGAAAAGTAAAAATGTGGGGGGAA